TTTTTGGTGGCATCTTTAGAATTTTCCATATAGTATCTTGTCGTCTGCAAACAGTGACAGGTTTATGTTTTCTTTTCCAATTTGGATTCCTTTATTTCTTTTTCTTATCCGATTGCTGTGGCTAGGACTTCCAACTCTATCTTGAATAAAAGTGATGAGTGGCCATCCTTGTCCTGTTCTGTTGAGTATGTATGATGTTAGTTGTGGGCTTGTCCTATATGGCCTTTATTATGTTGAGGTATGTTCCCTCTGTCTCCATTTTGTTGAAAGTTTGTATCATAAGTGGATGTTGAATTTTATTAAAAGCTTTTTTTGCATCTATGGAGATGTTTTTATGCTTTAAAATAGGATTTTTATTTTTCAACTTGTTAAAGTGGTGTGCCACATTGATTGATTTATGAATATTGAATCATCCTTGCACCCTTGGGATAAAACTCACTTGATCATTGTGTATCATCCTTGTAATATATTGTTGAATTTGGTTTGCTAATATTTTGTTGAGGATTTTTGCATCTATGTTCATCAGTGATATTGGCCTGCAACTTTGTGTGTATGTGTGTGTGTGTGTGTGTGTGTGTGTGAGATAATTTTGTCTGGTTTTGGTATCAGGATGATACTGGCCTTATAAAATGAGTTTGGAACCATTCCTTCTGCAGTTTTTTGGAACAGTTTGAAAAGGATAGATGTTAAGTTAACTCTTTACTAAATGTTTGGTAGAATTCACCTGTGAAGGTTGTGGTCCTGGACTGTTGTTTTTTGGGAGTTTTATTTTTAATACTGATTCACTTTAATTAGTGGTAATTGGCCTGTTCTTATTTTCAATTTCTTCCTGGTTCAGTCTTGGGAAATTGCATGTTCCTAAGAATTTATCCATTTCTCTTAACTTTTCCATTTTGTCAGCATTTAATTGTCCATAGTGAGGTGTTCGCTCACACCATGGTGATAATCATATTGCAATATATAAATGTATCAAATCAACACCTGTATACCTTAAACTTACACAATGCTATATGTCAATTATATTATATATATAATTTAGCAGTAACCAGCAAACGTCACTGTCTTTTTTATCCCTATGTTCAAATGCTTGCTCCATTGTACCTGCCATAACACTCCCCTCCACCAGGACATTTCCCCAAGTCACCATCAATAAAAGCTTTAGCAACTGAACCACCACCTTGAACCAGGAACTGTTTGTGTCCCACAAACCCTCCAGGTTGGTGCTATCTCTGCCTGCAGGGTGCTGGGTGAGCCAGTCTCAAGTCCCCTCCAAACGTCTGTTTTCTCAGACCACTCGAATTACTACCTCTGTCAGTCCAGGTTCTCTGAGAAACAGTCACCAAGATCAGACTGAATGTGCAACAATTTTATTAGGGGAAATACTTGTCTGAAAGGAAATAGGAAGTTGTGGAAGGTAGGGAGAATCATCTGACCCAGACTGAGAGAGAGAGAGACAGACAGACACACACACACACACACACACACACACACACACACACACACACACACAGAAAGTGTAGTTTGTGTGTGTGTGTATGTGTGTGTGTGAGAGTGGAGGTGTCCTTAACTGCTGTGCAACATGAGACTTCAGGAGTCCTTGAGGCAGGCTGGCAGGTGTCTCGTCTGTGGAAGTATCCCCCGCACACTCAGTCATCGGAGGGGTAGTGGCTTGGGGGGTGTGGCCTTGGTGCAATGTGGTGGTGAATTACAGGGGCAGCAGCTCATGTGCTGGGTCAATTACACTCCTGCAGTAGGAGGTCTGCCACAAACCACCCATCTTCCTACCAGCCTACCTACATCAGTACCCATGAACTCTGGCCTCCCTCCTATAACACTGGATGAAATGTTCAGTTTCAGCACTTGATCTGGTTTTCTTTTGCCTACTCAAGGATTTTGGTTCAGCAGTTACCCCCTCTCTCCCCGGATCATCAGTTTTCCCTCGCCACTGGATCATTCCTGTCAGTACTCAGTAACACCTTCCTGACCTCACCTCTGCCTCCAGTTGCCCTCCATTTCTTTGCTCCCTATCATGGAAAAAAAGAACTCCTTGAAAGAGTTTATACTTGCTGTCTCTACTTCTTTAATTCCCATTCGTTTGTTCACAGTGACAAGAGACTTTTTATGATTAATTAAGTAGTATAACTTTAGTGTAGTAGGAAACCACAGTAAGAAAGCAAATATCACCTGGAACTACATCATTTTGAGTTTGGTGACTAATATCCTTCCATTTGTCTTTATGCACAGACACATCATTTTACATAGAGAGAAAAATATGCATGCTGTTTTTCTGTTGTTTGCTGCTTCCACAGTTTTGAGGGGTTTGTTTATATCCTTTCCTCTCTACATCTCTGGACACATCCCCTCTCCCCCTCCCGCAGTGGACAGACATACACAAGCACACATGCACATGATGTACACAAATGGTGTGTATCCTTCCATACTTTTCTCTGGTTCTCATGCACAGAGCTTTCATTTTGTTTATATAATAGGATCATAGTATAAGTACTTCCCTGTAGCTCACTGTTCTCATTTAGCAAAACCTTGTGAGACTTCACTTACCAACTGTGTGAACTTAAAAAATTATTTACCCTCTCTGTACGAGTTTCCTCATCTCTAATGGGATAATAGTAGTTCCAATCACATAAAGTTGTTGAAGAGGATTCCATAAATTACTAGAATAATTTCTGGCACATAGTAAACACTAAAAAATAGTTGTTTTTATTGTATTTGTTGGCTGTTTGGATGTGCTCTTCTGTGAAATGACTATGTGTTTTGCTCATTTTGTGTTTGGTTGTTTTCTTTCTTTTCTCTGTCACATATTTCAGGTCTTGTTTCACCCTTTCAATAAAGATTTTAAAGATGTTTCTCATGTAGGTCATACACCTTTCATATTAAGTTTAATTCTATGTAGTTTGTCACTACAATAAATTATATTTTATTTCTGTTGCCAACTGTTGAACTATTATAGAACTATTATAGAGAAAAGGTATTGCTTTTTCAGATTTCTTTAAAGTTTTTTATGTAACTTTTAAAAGCAAGGTTTTAAATTTTAAATGTTTGTCTCATCTTGAGCCATCTAATGATCTTATTTGAGTAATTCTTGTTCCTAATTTTGGGTTTCCTTTCGATCTTACTGTTGAAAGAGAGGATTTTATTTCCTTTTCCCAAGCATTTATAATGGTTATTTTACTTCCCTCTTGTAATGTCAGAACCTTCAAAACAGTGATGAGTAGCAGGTATCCCTGTCTTGTTCCTGATCTGAGGAAAGTAAGAAATCCTATTTGTAGATAATAGTTTTGGTCTGTGCCCTTGGAGTTCCATTTGACTTCTGATCTTTCATTCATGATGTCTGTGCATGGATTTCAGACTCGTTTACCCAGCCTCTACAATCACATAAGCCAATTTTTTGTTTGTTTGTTTGAGGAAAAAGGGGCCTATTTATGAATTTAAGTAAGTCCATGGAGAGAGTAAAGAACATGGACTAGGGTACCTCCACCCTGGCTGGGCCCAGCACAGCTAAAGCTCAGCACACCCTCCGTCTCCTGCGTTCTCTCCCCATAAGCCAGTTCCTTTAAATAAATCTCTTTACACACACACTCACACACACACTCACACACTTCTCCTACTGATTCTCCTTCTCTAGTTAGATCCTGACTGTTCAAATACTAATTGTTTAGAAAGCTGTGATCACATTTGGACAAATGAAGAAGCTTATTTTGAGCATCAAAATCAAATTTGAAAACTTAAAATTCAGACTTAGAGCATCAGTATCCTATTTTCCAATATAATAAGGTGTGTATCTCATATGTGAATCTACCATTAGAGAAACTTCTGAAATACCTTTTACAGACTATTGAAATTTATACACATTATGAAGTCTTTTATACATAAGTTAACTTCAGCCATATAAGGTTTCATATGAGAAGTCTTATGCAAAATAATAACATTTGACACACATATATTTTCAAAAATTTTCTTTCATTCTTAGGAAAGATTATAATAGCCAAATTTAGGTGGTTTAAAGTTTTTTTTTCTTTAAGCGATATAAAAGTACATAGACTACAGTAAGATAAATGTAAACACACTAAGGATTGATTTAATAACATGCACTGTATATGAAAATAGTTTTGTTTTGAGTAATTTAAGAACACTTTTCAGATTTAGAATTTGGTGATACTTACTATGCACTTATACTTAGTAGGTCCCAGTCAAACTTACACTCTCAATATAAGGATAGAGACACTCCCTCTACATACATACATTTGTAGTCAATAAACTTCCATTTTTCTTAATCATTCTTTTGTTTTGTTTCAGGGTTGTGAAGTGGTACATCAATAAATTCGCTGTAAATCCTCAGATAATAATACAAGTAGCTCAGAGCTAGAAGACTGAGGAACAGGAGCATCAGGAGAAAGAGGATGGCAGCAACCAGGTAAGTACGGGGACTGAAATAAGAGAAAAAAAGTCATTAAAAGTCATCGTTCACTTTGGTTGTTAACTTATTTAGTCAAATAATATTCGAATAGCTGGCTACGAGGCCATTGTTCTCTGTCAGTGAGTAATAAGATTAATGAGACATCTTGTCTACCCTCAGGATGTCTACCTCTGAGTGCTTGAGGCTGACCAGAGAGGAAAACAGACAGTGAAAGTGATCAGTATAATGAGAGGAGTTACAAGGTACTATGGGAGCCAGGCATGGGGAAGGCTTCCCAGTGGAGGTGACTTTTGAACTGAGTATGGGTAGGAGTTAGCTGGATATGAGTAAGATTAGGAGTGTTAGTGTAAGTTAATTAGATAAAAACGCCTGGGAGTGGTGAAAGCGACTAGGTGGGCATCATGTTTTAGGCCAAGGGAGATGCATTTACAAGGCATGGAACATGAGAAAATCTTAAGATCAGCCCCAGAAAGTCTGTATCTAAAACTACTTGAGCATGACTAGGGCTTAGGTGTAGGCCCAGTGGTTAGAGGTGAGGCAGCACAGGTTGTTGGGGATGAGAAAGGCAGCTTTATTCAAGCTACAGCGTGTGGATTTTAGTCTAAAGGCAAGAGGGAGTTTCAGAGGTGTGATACAGAGCTGTCATTTTAGAAGGACGATTCTGATATTAGTGCGAAGAGTGGATGAATGGGAATTACTCATATGGAGGGAGAAAAGCCAGTTAGGAGGTTTTTGTAATAATCAACTATGATGAGGGTTTTAATTAATTCATGGCTGGAGAAATGGGGAGAAGTGGCTAAATCTAGAGTATATTTAGGAGTTAGATTGGATCAATCGTGGTGATTGTTAAGCTGTAGGGTTTGACAAATACGTTAGAATAAGGGCTGTCTCCTAAGTTTTAAGATGAGGTAACTCTGAGGATGGTATCCTCATTCACTGACAATAGGAAGTTCAGAAGGAAATATACTTTAGAGGGCATGTGCGTTGGGCACATAGAATTTGAGGCACCTGAGGGTCAACCAGATGTGCGTGTGTGTGTGTGTGTGTGTGTGTGTGTACACTTAATTAGATGCTACTTTCAGCCAAGGTCCAGACATCTGCGTCTTCATCTGGGACTCTGCATGAGTGCCTCCCTTCAGAGTGGATGTATTTCTTAAGCCAAACACTGTGCTGTTTTCTATTTGTTGTCCTGGTACCTGACTTTAGTTTTCAGTTCCCTTTTAAACCATAATTATTTGTTTGCAGTATTTCCCCAGGTCCCCAGTCCCCTTAGTCTGATCTTCCTCCTCAGTGGATACAAGCTTAATCTAGTTCCAGTGAATCTCTTCCTTCTTGGAAGTCCACTAACTTAACAAAGCATCTGATGTATGCTGTACTGTGCTAGGTGCTGGGAAAACAATAATGAGGAACAATAGACATGGTCTTCATCCTTAGACAGCTTACGTTTTAGTGGGGACATAGTAATTAATCAACTAATGAGAAAATAAATATATAATTGAACTTGTGATAAGAACTGAGTAGGAGAGGTATACAATGCAATGAAAGCTCATCGCAGGATTTAACCTGGTGAATTGGGTCAAAAAATGCCCCCATTGGGAAAAGATAAATATTTTAAAATGTGAAGAATTAGTGGGGAGGGTATAGCTCAGTGGTAGAACTTATGCTTAACATGTATAAGGTCCTGGGTTTAATCCCCAGTACCTCCATTAAAAAATGATAAAATAAATTATCAAAGACTACAAGGGTTTTATACACACACACACACACATCAATAGACAGATAGATACAGCTGTACGTAGATATATAACTTAGAAGACAAATTGAAAGGAGAAGTCAATGGCCCAAGACAGGACAATTTTAGCTTTAATAAGGATAAGTTTACATTGGATTGAAATCCATAAATTATGCTTAAATCCATGAGTTTATAATATTTGCAGACAAAAAATTTGGTCATCTTCTGAGAATGACCAGAAATCAATTCATTATTGTGAAAATTGAACAAATAAAAAGAAAATACCGAGAAAAAAAATTTGAAGAATTAAATAGAAGTAGATTGATAAAGTTAAGAGGTAAAGAGGGGGAAGGAAGAGACTGCAGATAAAGAAAATAGCATGTTCAAAGCTCCTGCTGTGGAACAGAGTATGGAGAAAGCTGGGAACTGAAAGAAGGTTGGTAGGTGTGGAGCTGAGAAAATGAGGGGAACGTGATGCAAAGTGAGACTGGAGAAGTAGGTAGGGGCTAGATCAGAAAAGATCTTGTGGGCTATGTTAGGAAGTTTTCATTTTAAAGAAAGAAATTTAAAGGTCTCAAGCTACTGAAATTAGCATTTGAGAAGATTACTCTGGCTCCAACGAGGAGAATGAGATAGAATAAAATAGGAAAAGATGAGGGGAGAGCACTGTTAGGAGTCTGTTGCAATAATTCAGACCAGAGGTAATGGTAACTTGGATTAGAGTGGTGGTTTTGGGTTTGGTAAGAAGTGGATTCATTTAAGGGCAATGTAAGAGATTAAATGAATGGGAAGCAGTGACTGTTTAGATGAGCTGGAGGGGAGAGAGAGAGAGAGAGAGGAATGTGAACTCCAGTTTTTAGTTTTTCATGTTTTTGACTGCTAGGTGTTTGGCTTGTACAATTTTAGATGTGCTATTTCCTGAGAGGGAAACACTGGAAACTAGGGTCACCATGTTGTTTTAACTCCAAGAGGGCACCATTCACGTTATAGCCTATGTGAATGGATTCTCCTGGAGCTGTGCAGTGACACACAGGACTGTTTGCAATTACTGTGAAAATCAGTTTCAGACAAATAACGGGGTAAGGGAATGGGTGGTAAGATCATGAGTTTACTTTTGGACATGTCCCATTTGACTCGTCTTTGAGATAAAAGAAGAGGTTAAGTAGACAGTGGGATGTATGGCCCTGGACTGGTCTAGAGATAGGATTTGGGAGTCATGTATTTATAGATGCTAATCAAAATCATGGATATGGATGAGCTTGCCAGAGTGAGAAGCTCAGAAAACCAGGACTGAGCCCTAAGGAAGGTCAACATGTAATGGCTGGTGTTGTAGGATGAGGCTCTCTTTATTAGAAAGAGAGAGAATGGCTACAGAAGGCTAGGAAAACTGTTAGAGCAAAATGGCAGCCAAAGGAAAAGTCAACGCTGATGAAAGGTCAAAAAAGACAGGACTGGAAAGTATCTGTCAGATTTAGTGTGGGCCAGTTCCAGTTCAAGATGGTGACAAAGGAGGCTCCTGAACTTCCTTCCTTCCATGGACACACCAATACTATAGCTACATATGGAACAATTCCCTCTGAGAGAAATACAGAAACTAGCTGAGCAACTCCTATATACTGGGTGAATGAGAAAAAGTCAGCCACATAAAGGTGGGTGGGAGAGATTGAGGCACAGTCTCACCAGAACCCCCGCCCCCAGCCCCGCAGCGTACAGTGGGGAGGAAACTCACAACTCCTAGCTTCCGCTGGATTCTGAGGACTCGCAGTGGCCAGTCCCCTCTCTCACCTTCTGCCCCTGCTCGGCACAGAAGCAGCATTTCCCGGTCTTTCCGTGAAAGAGACCCGTTTGCTTATCTTAAAAGCTGCGATCTGAGGGTCAGGCTCCTAATGTAACACAAATCTCTGCAATCCTCTGCAGAGACTGGAGATGCTGGCAGGTGCCAAAGTTGCACTCTCTCTCTGCCTGTCCCCAGGTCGCAGGTATCTCCCCCAAAAGACTTCACTCATACTTCTGATGCCCCAGCTCCTATGGCTGCTGCTCAGGAGACACGCCACTGGATTGCCTGGCCCTGGTAGCCAGCAGAGCGTATGTTCACAGGTCCCACAGGACTGTAACAAATAAAGAAACTGTTCTTATCTGGCTGTTCCCTCAGCATAGGGGGAACAGACAGAAAGGCCCATCTCCTAGTCTTCCCCTGAAAGAGATCTGTTTGCATACTTTAAAAACTGCCTCTTGAGGGTCCAGCTTCCAACCAGGCTGCATCTGGGTGCTGGCTGAGATCCTCTTCTTTGGGACACTGGTGGTCTTGGCACACCCTCAGCTACTGGGAGACACTAAGAACTAAGAAGGCAGCTTGGACAGTCTCAAGGGTTTAAGAGAGAAACAGCAGTTAGGGCTGGGCTGAATAGTAAGTTCCATCTTCTATGTAGGATCACTCCTTCATGACTGGGAGAAGTGGCTGTCTTATCTATTGCGCGGAAACCAACACAGAAAGTCAAGGAAAATGAAGAAACAGAGAAATATATTCCAAACAAAATAACAAGATAAAACTTCAGAAACAGACCTTAATGAAACGGAGCTAAGTGATTTACCTGATAAGGAGTTCAAAGTGATGGTCATAAAGATGCTCACTGAGGTCAGGGGAAGAATTCATGAGCAAAGAGAGAGCATATAAGAAAGTACCAAAGAGACTTAGTGCAGACCAAAGCTATTCTAATGAGAAGTAACTGGTGGCGTGATAAGATAGAAAGCAGACTGGACGGATTCACGCCATAGGGATGGAATATAGGGACATGAGGATTATGAGGGTAGACAAGCCTTTTCAGGAGTTTGTCTTGCGAAGGAGGTGTGAGATAAGGTGGTAGGTGGAAGGGGATATGCCTGAGGTTTTACTTATTGTTTATTTGCTTAAAAACTTGAGAGTGATTAAAAGCTTATTGGAAGGATATAGTTGAGAGGGAAAGTTGAATATACAGAAGAGAGAAGGAATAATTGATCTGGAATTTCGGAGTGGGAAGGACCAGGGTTTAAAGCACAGGTGAGAGAATTGTATTTAAAGAGGAGGTAACAGGATAGAAAGAGGAGTGAAAGGGGATAGATGTTAGTTGGTTTTTATGTTTGGAATCAGAAATAAGGGGAGTTCCTGTCTGATGGCTTCTAATTTCTCTGTAAAGGTGAAAAAAATTTCATTTGATGATTGTTATGGAAAGGTCCCAGGAGGAAGCTACTCAGATAGGTGGATGTTACGGAGAGTGGAAATACTGGTTGACCAGAGAAAGAAAGAAAGGTTCCCAGGTGGTGCTGGTGATCTGTTTGAAGTTGGTGATCAATCTGCCCTGCTGTGTATCTTTCTTTAGAAGTACCGGGCTGCTCCGATGTAGTCCTAGAGAAAGAAGGTGGTTGGGGGCTTGCCAGAGGGGGCGCAAATCCCAAAAAGGCAAAGGAGAACTAGAAAATGATGAAATAATGGACTTTGTTTGGAATGTAAGGAAACAGAAAGTAAAAAAAGGAGAGACTGAAAGTAGAGGTGGAGGTCCTCCCCGGTGAGAACGAAGAAGAGTTGTAGTGGGTGGAGTTGGATTAGCGAGCTGAGAAGGTCAGAGGACGAGATGTCTGAACTGATGCTTCAGTCCGCAGAGCAGTTGTGATAGTCCTGACAGTGGCCAGGGTGTGACTCTGGGAGTGGATGGCTAGAGTACCAGAGAGGAGGAGCACGCCAAGGAGTAGGGAAGGCCATGATGTTGGCAGGGTTGGCCATGTGGACCCTGATGGTGTGTCTTGATACAGAGATGAAAACAGGATGGCGTTGAATGAAGGGAAGTTTGGAGAGGACACAGCAATGAGAACAGAGAAAGGATGGGCGTAGAGCAGATGCCATGAGCCTCCAAGGGTAAGTGTTTAAAAAAAATTATTTTTTTTCAGAAGAATCAGGATAAATAAGGATCTGGGAGTGGTAATGGTTCCCAAGGCACATGGGAGTGTGCGGAAATAAATAGCCATCACTCTGAAGAGCTGAAGGGTGACAGACAGAAGGAGAGCTCAGAGGACAGGATTTAGGTTAGTTTGCTGGTTAAATCGTGGCAACTCCAAAGGACAGAGTAGAAAATTGGGGGAAGTGGTTAAGCACTGGGCCAGAAAGCAAGGAAGTAGTAAGATCTTTGCCTCCTGCAAACTGATAATCAGCCCGGTTTGCTCATGAAGAGTGCTCTCTTACTAGGAAGACGTTCACCACCAGCTCACCCCTGTTCTGCCTCTGGTCCCCTTCAGGGCTCAAAACAGAGACTGAACTGCAGTCACTAACCTGATGGGCCATCCCCTGTGCTGCATCGTATTTCCTGGCTGCTAAAATCCAGCTCTTGGCAGATGAGCTGGGGCAAATAGGTGAGATCCCCCTTTACTCCTCCTCCTCTCCTCCCTAACTCACCAACTCCCACTTCTGTTGGTGGATACTTGGGTGGACATATGTTCTTAATATACATCTAAATCAAACGTACAGATCTGATGAGAAAGAGAAGTTGCTGCAAAAAAACCCTGTACATGTTCCCCCAAGCTACCTACAAGTAACACGTGGCTTATCTCATTTGCAGTTTATCCGCACCATTAGCCTCCTGTTAGCACAGAGAGTTGAGCAGTCAGTGATATTTAAAGTAGGGCCGTAAGTAACTTGATGTTTGTCCTCCACTCTTGTTTAACATTTTCAGAAAACAAAACAAAACAAAAACACGGGACAGAGATGCAATCATCTGCAGTCCCAACTTTCATATAAGATGTTTCACTCTGCTCTCAAAGGAAACTGAAGCTGAGTCCAGGGAAATGCCTTTACTGTCTGTTTCCTGTATGTACTGGAATAATGGCCTGGTGGAGGGCTGACTCACGGTCAGTGGGGCCCAGCCACTGCCCTCTCTGTCCCCACTGCTGCAGTCTATCATCTGCCCTTACGTGGAGTTGACAGACACTTTTGATGGGAAAACTGGCTATTGAGGAGGATGGAACTAAAAGGGACCCAGGCTTCAGTAGGGTATATATATATACAACTTTAAAAATGTCACATATAGGGCAGAAATATTAGGGTCCCAGGAAAATAGGAGAGAGAGAGGGACGTTTCCTTTTTTGCTGCCACTGTTTCTTTTACTTCCCTCTTTAGAGCTGAATTAGGCTGTAGTCATTACCTGGGAATCACTCCAAAGGTCTCTATTGCAAATACAGCTGTTAGATTACAGAAACTGCAAATTAGAAAAATAATATTAAAGATTAAATTAAATACATTAAAAGACTCCCTGCACATCTCTATGGTAACAAACAAATTATATATAATCTTAGTTAAGGTGTCATTTTCTTGACAAGGGAGAGAATAGATACATTTACATAGGAGCTGTGATGATTTTTTTTCATATGTGTGACTTAAGCTGATCGCTACAAGTTTGCTCAGAGCTTGAAAGAGCAGCCTCACTGTCCTCCTAGTGGCTTACATCATTTTGATAATGGCTCCCAGGGCAACAGCAATAATGATATCGATAATAATTAACAATAGTAAGTGTTGACAGGAATCATAAACAGTTAACATTTATCGTGCATTAATACTTACTGAAAATGAATACTGAGCATTTGCTATGTACCAGCCAACGTACCAAATGTTCTACGTGAATTATCTTTGTTAATCCTCATAGCAGCCGTTCCTTTTAGACGAGGAAATTGAAGCTCAGATAGATTAAGCTCCTTACAGAAGTTTGCAGTTATAAGTCACAGAGCTGGGATTTGAATTCAAGTTTTTTGGACCAAATTGCCCATGATGTTCACATGCTGTAGGCTGACTCCTTCAGGAAGCTGAGAGCCTTCAATGAATTGTAATCTTTTGGCTGATGGAGGGTTTGAAATATTGCAAGAAATACCAAAATGTGACACAGAGACATAAAGTGAATAAATGCTGTTGGAAAAATAGCGCTGATAAACCTGCTTGACCAAAGGTTGTCACAAACCTTCAATTTGTAAAAAAGTGCAGTGTCTTCAAAGAGTAATAAAGTGAGACTTGATAAAATGAGAGATGCTTGTAATTGGACATCTGAGTGAAATCAAATTAGATCAATAAAATAAAAATTTAATTTTTAGGAACTAATGCTAAAATTATTATAAGAAGACATGCATATTCACCTATAGTTTGGATCCAGGATCTTCACACGAAACACATACATTCCATAATGGTCCATGGGCCAAACTAAATGGTTATTGTTAGACTTGTTGATGATCTCATATGGTTGATTTAAGTCTCCTGGTTTTCCAATAGTGTAAGAAAAACAGTGCTTATAGTTCTGAATAGGAAACAAAGACAAAAACCTTAAGACTATCCTCTGACTAATAAACAAGGTTATAGTCTCATTTATTTATCTCGAAAAAGCATTTAGAGATATAATGGCTATTCCCTTCTTCTAATATTTGAGTGCTGTATACTGTTTTTAGTGGTTCTCCTGGGTTAAAGTTTGATAAAAAGTGAAGCTTAGTGAAAGCAAATGCTGTATTTATTTGCAAACAATAATAAATCAAGGTGTTGAGGACATGTAAGCATATTATTTCCCTAAATCAAAAAAGCACAGAATCCTCCAAGGATGCTTAATTTAGGGAAAGATACTATTTTGGTGATAAGGTATGGATACAGTAGTCAAGGTGGTATCTTTGGGTTTTCATCTTCCCCTAAGACTTCTGTTTATCCCCATTACCATTACCATGTCTCTCTGTGGGTCTCAAGGTACAAACAAGAAAGAATACTTCTTTATCCCCTGTTCCGTTTTTAAAAAGCATAGATGAAATGAGACTAGATTTTTCAGTTACTTTATTAAAGCTAAGAAAGAAAATCCTAGTATAATACATGGCATTGCTTCTGGGTTCTTGTAGGTCCTGTCCTGTAGGCTGTCACACCCTACTAGAGGATTCCTCCTCTACCCCTCTGCTGTCTGAAGGGTTTCTCATTTAAGGAGATAAGAAGCCTTGTGGGGCAATTACTTTGGATGTGCCTGATTTTTGGCTGTCAACAACCTTCGTAGTTTTTTTCTCTCTTCTGCCTGTCACTTAGGGCCCAGAGCTTCGTGCTTCTCCCTGTTCTGGTAATGCTGTTCATCTCTATCACGTATTCTCAGTGTGGCTGAATTCTTTCTCCAGCTTTTGAGTGAGGAACTTCCATCTGATTTATTCAAGTGGAATTTATTTCTTGTTCTTTCCTTCACATCCTCCCTACATTTTGACATTTGTCAGTACAATGGTATTGCAGATACAGTGTTCATTCTTGGGTTGATTGATTTATTTAGTTTTAGAGGAGGTACTAGGGATTGAACCCAGGACCTCGTGCATACTAAGCATGCACTCTACCACTTGAGCTATTACCCTCCCCCACAGTGTACTTTCTTAATGCTACTTGGTTTTGGAGATAATTAGGAACAGTTCATATAGTTCTTTTATTTGGCTATGTAATCAGGCATACGTAGCAGTCCCTTCTACAGCTCTTTCCTTTTGTCTTTATTTATATACAGTTCAGTATTTACCATCCTGTTTGAATTTATTTTGAAGGTGAATATTGCCTTCACACTGAAAATCTTCCACTTCCCTTCTTAGCAGGCCATTTTCTTTTATACAAGTGAATCATTCTATAATTATATTTTAATTATAAGTCCCATCCCAAAAACTCAATGATTTTTTAAGAGTTCATGAAGTGTTCCTCAATGTCTTGATAAACTGCAAAATAATTATTTTGTCCCTCCCCCTTATCACATTTTCTATTATGTCTTGCCTTGGTCTACCTTTCTACCACTGCACTCCCTGACATATTTCTAAAGCAATATGTTGGGTGTAGATGAAAAACAAGTAAGAGGCTCATCATTATTATTTTTTCTTTTGAACATCAAGAAATTCATTTCTGCCTTTCTGTATTTTACGTATGTATGTACTTATTTATTTATTTTTGAGATATAATTGACCTGTAACATTATATTAATTTCAGGTGTACAACAGAATAATTCAATATTTGTACATACTGTGAGATGATAACCACCATGAGTCTAGTTAACACCTATCACCATACATTGTTACAATTGTTTTTCTTATGATGGGGACTTTTAAGATTTGCTCACTTAGCAACTTTCAAATATTACAAGGCAGTATTACTAACCATAGTCACCATGCTGTACATTACGCTTCATAACTGTAAGTTTGTACCTTTTGACCACTTTCTCCCATCTCCCCTATGCCCCATCCCCTACCTCTGGCAACCACTCATCTTTTGATGTATCCTAACTTGAGAACACAATCCGTATGATGATGATGATGATGATGATGATGACGATGATGGAGGTTCTTCTAGGTCGACACTGACCTGTGAACTTCTCGTTCTACCAGGTTAGTTAATGTGTAAGACCATGAATTTAATGGAAAGAGTATGTGGCAGGTACTAAATATATGCAGGAACTGGACACATATTGCAACAATGCATTTCTGATAGGGACATATGTACTTTTTTTTATATAGACACCTGGGAATATTATATTGTTTCCAACTTCCTACCTCCTTATTTCCTGACATGAATGATGATTCCCACTGATTGTTGCTCCTCTTTTTGTGTCATGCCTGAAATTTCCTGTTATATTAGCAGACTTTTTTTTTTCAATTACTATTTTTTCCCCATTCTTTCTTATTTATTTATTTTTTAATTGAAGTACACAGTCAGTTACAATGTGTCAATTTCTGCTGTACGGCACAATGTCCCAGTCATGCATATACATATTTATATTCGTCCTCTTTCTTTTTGAATTCAAAGCCCACTTGATCAAGTTATATAGTCTCTGAGAAAACAAATCTGCCCTGGCTTCATGAATTACACTTTGCTTCTAGCCAAGGACTTCTGTGATTAGTATGTCGGTCGTGTTCAGAAACTCAGCTGACATCCTGAGTGGGAAATACGTAGCCAGCCATTCATTACCCACTTTCTCCTTCTCCTTCTCAAACCCCAACATTAACTTGGAAGAGCCTGTGAAAATGCCACTTTTGTTTATGACTCCTTCAGATTTTTCTCTTGAGAATTTACAGTCCC